CCAAAGCCCTGTGGGCTTGTCAAAAGAGCGTGCAGCAGAGAACTTCTGGGGGTGAAGAAGTTGGGCGTTGGGTGGTTGGTGGTTTCGTCCGGCAAATGTTCTGGGTGGTTTAAGGCTATGTACTCTGGAGAGTGTAAACGCCTTTAGCCCCAACGGTTCGCAAATGATTCAGTGGCCACTTTCCTAGCTAATACTTGGGACCCAGGTGGGACAGGGTACCCGGCCGTTTAAGCAGAAACAGCACTCGGTCATTGCACATCGATGAACTGAGCACTGACTACAGGCCATGCACTGTGGTGGCCACCATTCCTGCCCTGACTGCATACCTACAAGGGGAGACAGTCAGAATTTAAAAAGTTGGGGGTGGGATGGGGAGGAAGTGTGGGAAGGGCCTATCAGGAAGTTTACTGCAGGGAAGAAAAATCAATGGGGATTAGAGGCCAGGGGACATCAGAAGTGACATTTGAGTTCAGGTTGGGATGAAGGACGGGAAGGAGCCCTGTGAGGCCTGGACGGAGACCCTTGCAGTTACAGGGAGCATTAGGACAAAGGCCTGGATGTAGAGACAAGGGGGCAGCGAGGAGGCAAACAGGGTGAGTGAAGTGGGTGAGGGAAAGTCGTGGCTGATAGGATCCGAGTGCATGGGATCCTGCAGGCCTGGATCATGAGGCCAGGTGGGGGTTTGAGCAGAGCTACAAGATGGTCGTGATGCACTACTGCAGTGGTTCTCAACCTTCCTAATGCTGCGACCTTTTAAGGCAGTTCCTCATGTGGTGGTGACCCCCAACCATAAAATTATTTTCGTTTCTACTTCATCACTGTCATTTTGCTACTGTTAGGAATCGGGAAACCCTTGTGAAAGGGTCATTTGACCCCCCGAAGGGGTCTCGACCCACAGGTTGAGAACAGCTGCTCTAGGAGATAGCAGTTGGCTGCCATGTGGAGATTGGACTCCGGGCGTACAAGGGATGCCAGCCTGGAAGGGAGTTGGCTTGTCATCAGCCTGGTGAAAGACCAGGGGGCCGAGGTGGTTTATGGTCTCTGCTTCCAAGCTTGGGGGAGGCCTGAGGGGGGCTTAGAGGGTGCCCTGTGGTCTGCCTTAGGCAGTCCTGAGGTGAGGACTCGGTTCAGGGGGAGGCCTGGTTGCTGGGTCTAGTCGGCTCCCTTCCTCACCTACCTGTTCCTCAAGAAGCTGACCTGGTTGGATCGGATTTATTAAACTTTCACCCAGCCCTGCCGCCCCCTGGGGCCCTGATGAAATGGCAGCCCGGGGGCTTTGGCAGAGCAAGCTGGGCCGTGGGCACGTGATGGTCGGGGAAAAGAGACCAGCTCTGGGGCTTAGTGTGTTTCCTTTCCTCTTGTGTCCCTTAGAGGGGTTTAAGTGAAGTGACTGAGCCCTGCAGACTGGCCCTGACCCTGGCAGGACCATTCCCCACTTAGAGCCAGAACTTTCAGTCTTGCCTTTCGACCTCGCTGTTTCTTTATTTGGAACCTTTTGCTGTACTCGAGGTGACGCTCACACAGCAAATTCACTTTGCATTCAACAGTGAATCCACAGGTTGTCTTGTGACCCTGGCTGTGGCTCCTGGCTCTCCCGTTTCATCCCTCCGGCCGGCCTGCCCTGCCCTGCTGTTTCTTCTCATCTTTAGTTTTGGGCAAATGCTACCCATTTGGTTGGTTGGTTGGTTGTTTTAAAAATCATTTTATTGGGGGCTCATACAACTGTTAGCACAATCCATCCATCCATCCATCCATTGTGTTAAGCACATTTGTTCATCTGTTGCCATCATCATTTTCAAAATATTTTCTTTCTACTTGAGCCCTTGGTATCAGCTCATTTCCTTCCCTCCCTCCCTCCCTCCCTCTTGAACCCCTGATAATTTAGAAAAAATTTTTTTCATGTCTACACTGACCAATGTCTCCTTTCACCCGCTTTCCTGTTGTCCGTCCCCCTGGGACAGGGTTATATGTAGATTATTGTGATCGGTTCCCCCTTTCTCCCCACACCTTCCCCTTCCCCTCCTGGTCTCACTACTCTCATTATTGGTCCTGAGAGCATTTAGTTATTTTTCATTTGTTTCAAATTTCTGTTCTGCTTTTTTATTTTTTAAGTTTTATTGGCATATAATTTATATATCATGCAATTCAGTACTTTATAATCATATTAAGAAGAGTTGTACAATCCTCACCACAATCAATTTTAGAGCATTTTTTCCTTTCTTGTACTCATTGTTATTGTTTTCCCAAACTTCTTTTGCCATATCCCTAAGAAACCATTAATCTAGAGGAAAACCTGTATACAAAGAAAGCAGAAAACATTATAAACTAGACATTAAAAATGGGTCCCCAAAGGGAGATCATATGATAAGGTGTAATTTTAATCTAACTGCATTTGCAGTAATTCACTTTCCAATGTACTCTGCTTGATAACAAGGCTGTTCACAACCCCAGTCTCTGGTGACAGGGGATTCCCCAAGAGGCTTCATCCAGGTGTATTTCCCCTTCACTTTTTTTTTTTTTAACTAAAACAACTTTTAAATGGGTCAAAAGGGAGAGCAAATGATATGATAATGCATTTAAACCTACTCCACCTGCCATAATCAACTTTACAATGTTCTCTGTTTAATAACAAGACTTCATATCCTTCAACTATGTTCAGAAGGGATTCACCAGCGGCTTAATCCATGTGGGGACCCTGCAAATGGATTTTGGGCTTCCAGTGTCATCCAGTGCCTTTTGCAAACCAGATATTCACAATTTAAGCTCCAATATCATTCCCGCCTTTGGATTTGGATTATGTTGTTTCCAATCCTTGAATCACACAGGCTGGGGTGCTTCTTCCAGGTGCACTAGATGGCTGCTTGTTTAAAGACAAGCCTTTAAAACCTTAGACGCTATTCTTTCTGATAGCCAGACACCCTCTAGTTTCTGAACCACACTTTACTATAGCATCCGTACCTTCAGTGATCTTTCCATGAAGGTGAGCATCAAGCAGGGCCATAGCATAAGAACAAATTGTTCTTAGTTTGGGGCTAGAATTAACTGTGAGCCCCAAATCCATTCTTATATCTATGCTTTATATATGTTTCTGGTTTACCTTAGAGACATCATTATTATTTTATGTTAGAAAACACTATCAGTTATCCCCCTGGAGCATAAGAAAATACTGAATATACTCAATTAAGCCAAGTTTTTCAGCACATTTTTAATGCAGTTTTTGTGGTAAAATCAGGTCCTTCAGCATATATTCGGGTCGGCTTATACTCGAGTATATGCGGTAATTCTGCTGGTAGTGTTATTAATTTAGCCAGTGGTATAGAATTGAAAACACAGTTGAGAAAAGCAAATGATACAATATAGGCTGGCTACAAATTGCATTACCTGAACTGTTGATTTAAGCAGATTAAACTTTTAAGTGACGGGACACTGTGTACACAAGCAGTGGGGGTTTGTGGTAGGACAGAACTTCTAATGCTATCTATTCACGATGGCAGAACCATGCCTGCCAGATGAACACACACACGCCGCCGTAAAGCAAGGAGGGCGTTAAGATAGTAAGGATGTGGTAGTTGTGGCCCAACCTTCCTTGGACACTCTCTAGGTGAGAGGTGGGACTAAAGCCCCAGGAGCACCAGTTCTGTACCCTTGGGAGAGCCGTCCTCTGCTTCTCCTCACACTTAGGGAGTTTCAGCCTCACGTCCAAAGGACTACAGGTGAGTTTGAGGTACATCCCAGCTCACTTAGTAGGGTTTCCACAGGAAGTCTTCCTGGGGTGGCTATGAAGGATGTTGTGCACCTTGAAAGAACAGAGTCTCAAGTCCCAGTAGTCTAAAGCACATGGCCCGGGTCACCAAGGTACCTGTTTGATTTCATAGAGTGGCTTGCTCTAAGGAGCACATGCCTTCCAGGTGTTTCCTTGGATTTTAACCCATTGTCCCACGTTCAGGGAATGATTTCCAAGGCTGGGAGTGGTGGTGGTTAGGTGCTGTGAGTCGGCCCTGACCCATGGCGACCCTATGCACAACAGAATGAAGCACCACCCAGCCCTGCACCAGCCTCACAAGCGTTCTTATGTTTGAGCCACTCCTCGTCAAGGGTCTTCCTCTTTTCCGCTGCCCCTCACTTTACCCAGCCTGATGTCCTTCTCCGGGGACGGCCCCCTGGTAACATGCCCAGAGTACGGAGGTGAGGTCTCGGCAGCCTTACTAGGGGCGTGCTGGCTGTTCTGCCCCCAGACAGACGTGTTGGCTCTTTGGGCAGTCGGTGGTGCTTTCGGTACTCTTTGCCAGCACCGTGATTCCAGTGCATCTGTTTTTCTTTGGTTTTCCTTTCTCAGAGGTTTGTTTCATGAGCTCTGCTTCTTCTAGGGATTACACGATTGAATTACTTTTTGAACACCGAAGCTGCGTGTATTTTTTTTCAAGTCTTAAGGTTGTTTACAGAGGGAGAATTCATCTACTTCCAACTACGCTGCCAGAGCACAGAGCCACTCCCAGAACCTTCTGCAGACCTGCTCTGATTGACATTGACTGGCTTCTAGAATTAGAAAGTCCACGTACACCGTGATACATTTTACAGGCCCAAAGAGAGAAAGGAGCCAGACTGGCACACAGCCAACATAGTAGATGGCCTGGAACCCCCCGTGCCCCGCCCCCCCCAGCCCAGGGTCCTGGAGCATGTAGCCCAGAGTTTAGGGGAAAGTGTGTACCCAGAAAGGAGCTCTTACTGTTACATTTCCAAAGGCTTAACTCCAAATACAGCTCCTCCTGCCTCTGCTCTGGCGTCGTACCTTCTCTCTGAGTCATCCTTTCCTCCCCAGAGCTGGACCATGTGCTGCTCTTGAAAGACTCAGAAGGCCGTTGCTAGCCTCTCCTGTGTAACTTCTGCCACAGTACTAGGCTGGTGGCTCGCCCAGTGGAACCACTGCTTGCCTTTGGTCTGTGGGATTGGGCTCCCAGTTTTCTGAATCCGGTTGACCAGGGGCCTCCTTTTTCCTTTAGCTTCAGATTTGGGACACGGCTGGCCAGGAGAGGTTCCGCACAATCACGCAGAGTTACTACCGCAGTGCCAACGGAGCCATCCTCGCATATGACATTACCAAGAGGAGCTCCTTCCTTTCCGTGCCTCACTGGATCGAGGATGTGCGGAAGTATGCAGGCTCCAACATTGTGCAGCTGCTGATCGG